TTGCCTATATGCACTACTGAGTCTGATAAGGGACCCCTTGGATGATCCATTGCTCAATGAAATACTACCTGATTGGAAGTGTGCTAGTTATCAGATATTCATTTGTTGACTCCCGGGTCCCGGAACTCAGAAGTCAGTACGGTTGACCCAAATTTGGGTGATCGGAACTTGGCGTCTCATAGGGCAACACAAGCTTCACACCCCAGATTCCAAATTCTGCAAGACAACCTGTGCACCATCAAAGGCCATGTCAGGAGATCACCTGCTGCTCTGGGAACTCGGTAACTTTAATTTATTACCTCCTCTGAGTACGATTGACCCAAAGGTTGGTAATCAGAACTTGGCTTCTCATAGGGCAACACAAGCTTCGCACCCCAGATTCCAAAATTTGCAAGACAATCTATCCACCATCAAAGGCCATGTCAGGAGATCACCTGCTGCTCCAGGAACTTGGTAACTTTGATTTATTACCTCCTCTGATTTGGTTGATGTACAACTACCTCAGCTCCATCATTTCTACAATTATGATACACATAGGCCCACCCATCTATATTTTATACCACCCTCAGCCCACCCATCTAATACAACATCCCATACAACACCCTCAGCCCACCCATCTAATACAATATTTTATAATACCCTCGGCCCACCTGTCTAATTTAATATGTGTCTGGGCCCACCCGTGAATGTGATAACAAGTACCTACCCATCTATCTCATACACATCTACCTTAATACACCCATCTGCATAATATCCAACTACCTTGGCCCACCTGTCTACCTAATATTCATGTACATCGGCCCACTCATCTACTCTATATATCCCCTGCATGGGCCCATCTGCCTCCATCGGGAATAATTTGCCTTTTGGCCCATCCATCATAGCCGAGGATATTTTTATCATGGGCCCATGGTCCGCTGGCCCATATCATACGGGATATTATGCATGTCCATTCCCTCGTATTATACGGAGATAGGTCACTGTAATATGTGCTGCTTTGAGAACTTCTTTGAAGTCTGTAGCTTCAGTCCTTGAGTAGTTAGTAGGATCCTTAAGTTCTAGTCTCCTATCAATAGCATGTCTCAAGGCAGCCAGTAGCCCTTGCCAAAAATAATGATCCCGCTCTCATGCTGATATCTTATTGTTTGCGACTAGCCAATGAGCTACAGGCCGAAACTGCCAGTAATACTGCAGAAATTCAGTCTTGGTTGAGATGTCATTGTCAATGTTGCTGATCACGATTCGTTCCAAGTCACGTATCGAGTACCAAAGGCCCTTTGCAGCTCCAGAGTATTGCAACAGAATACTGGTCTTAAAAATGGTAAAGTCTTTGCTTTCATACCCCGTCAGAGTTACCCAAAAATACTTCATCTGAATGTCAATGTAGCGAACAATTGTCTTGCATTTTTCGGCATACAAAAGTCCACAGGCCAATGCTAGATCCTCAAACAGTTCAATAAACTCAAGAAGTTCTGAAGTTTTACCATTAAATGTTGGTGCTTTGCTTGAATTGGCTCCAGGCATAGCGTTGATGCCTTTAAGCGTGTTTGACATGGTGAGTGGAGGTTGAGATGGTACATTGAGCTGAGTAGTGTTGCAAACATTTGAAGCTGATGTATTGGGGAAAACAGGTGTGTTTGGTACAGTTGGGATAGGTGGTTGGGTTTGGATGGGAGGGAAGGAAACATTTTGATGGATGAAAATTTGAGGTGCAGCAGAGGTGATGTTCCTCGTGGGGTCTACTATAGGTGGTACTGACGGCATAGGTGGAAAGAATCTAGCAGCTGGAAGCTTGAAAGGGAGTGGAGACGGTCCATCAAGGATCGAAGGAAAGTCCACAGATATTTCTAGAGCTTCGTCCAAGGATGAGGTTGCCGATTCTTCCGAGTTTATTGGGGAGGTAGATAACTCTAAAAACAGGTTGATTTGTTGGTCTGGAGGAGTTGTAGGATCTGAAGAGGAGGGTTCAGGAACAAAGGAAGTGTCAATTGTTGCAGGGAGTTCATTTCGAGGATGTTTTGGGGAGAGCTGCGCGTTTTTATGATAGAATTTCGGAATGGTGGGCAATGTAGATTTAGATAATTGAGTCTAGAGTGTTTATGAATCTATAGATCAAATAGGAAGATCAACAGATCAGATTTTGGATGCAAGGAAAAGTTCAAAAAGGAACCCCTCGCAGTGGGCTCCAAATCTGTAAGGCTTTATAATAGTGAGTGCGAAGGGGTTCGACAAACAATGGTGTTTGTTGGGATAGAAAGATTTAGAGTTTTTTTTTTTTAGGCGCATTGAGAAGATAGTGCAACAGAATATACATATTTAGCGGAGATGTTTCTGGGACTTGTGATGTTTGATGGTGAAAGCTCTGGATTGCATGAGGAATACATGGATATTTGTAAAGTATATATACATACAAGTGTGAAAGGGATAGCCGGGTGGCTCAAAATATGGTATGATGTGCTGAGAAACAAAGGATAATTCAATGAAAGAGAGTTTGGAAGAAGGATGAGTGCGACAAGAAGACTCGTATTCTACATGAGGTGTCTGTGTCATGTGACATAAGATAAAACACTTCTAAGTACAAGAGGAATCATAAAACATGAAGGAATGTATCTGTGTGTCTTGGATATGAAGAGTAGAGCTCTTTGCATCGTTGAGACACAACACATGGACTGTGTTAGCATTAGTTTGAAGTTTAGTTGGGGTGCAAAGGATACAGTATCCTTACAAGTCTGAGGGATGGCAAATATGGCCTATACAAGGCTGAAAAGACCATAGGTCTTACACCGGTTTTGAACCCACACAGACAGATTTGGATTCTGTCACATCAACTGCTTGGCTAAGGCCAGCTAGATGCACTCCTAATGAATCCATTCAGAAGTATATCCTCAATATACATTTATCTGCATTTTGTCAGCTCTAACATTAATTTCATGATGAAACTGTGGAATACCAAAACCTGGCAGTGGCAAGGAATTCCAATTGAGTATGGTACAATGTCATTTGTTAACTGCATACAGTATTCACTGTCTAGAGAACTTAGGCCAATGTCTTAATATATGTACATATAGTCGTAAGAAGTCATTCATAGACCTGATATGTCATAGACAGCCAACTTTTTTGTAAAATAGAGCATTCTCAATCCTTACTGCATTCAGTGACATTGAGCAGATGCTCAGCATCGAAATTGATAGTACCGCAATGAGAATGGAGGCATGACAAATACTTTGTAGTTGTCTAGTCCAAATCAGTATTCGCTACTTTTTTATATTCATACAAAAGTAGTGAATACTGATTTGGACTAGACAACTACAACCTGAGAAGGCAATACTGTCAAATGGAGATCAGCCAGAGTCAGCCTATCAAAAAGAGTGTCATTATGAACTGTCAGAATTGTCCAGATTCAGTGGAATCATATATGCTGGTATGTTGAGTTCTATTCATTTTGCACATTTTCAATCAAGTGTTCTATGAGGGAAGTACACCACCATCCTATGTTGATCTTCATTGCTACAAGTCACAACTTTGTTACAAAGTCACACACTATTCTACATTTGTTGATGAGTAATAAAGGAGACAAACATGTCTTGAATATCTGCTGACAGACAGTATCTCAAACATTGATCTTCATCAGCCTTAGTCAAGTTGTCACCAGGGTCAAAATCTGTTTCTCCCTTGTTGGAGCATGTTTAGTGAGGCATATGTGCCTCTGTTTCTGATTTTTGTAACTTAGCTTTCTATATTGCACTACCACTGTATGGTTTGTCATTATGAGCCATAGATAGTAGCTATTAGAATATAATAATCAAGAAGTTGACAGAAGAACTAAGAAGAAAAGTCAGACTGAACATCTGTATAGTTTCCTACCCCCAAAGTGCCCCATGTCACATATGATTCCATTATCCAATCCAACCTCACTGGTATGTTTCTATTACTTTATTTTTATATCAGACCATATTATGCTTTAGACTTTAATGATTTGATCATTTGTGTGTCATGAATCCTTATTACATATTTTACCTACTCTCTTTGCAAACACTTTGGCTCCAGTTCATATTTTGAAATATAAGCTTCCTACACCACACTATCAGTGTATATGGTCTCTGGTCAACCCCCTCCCCTCCTGGTGGCTGTTCAAATGGTGGACACACTATGTTAGTGCTACATATGCAGAGTCTGTCCATAACCACTGACTTGCATCAAAAAAACATGTCTGGATACTGTGCAACCCTTGTGTGACCAAAAAAGTTTGAATCATGAAAGCTTCTGGGTACACCAATCACATAACCAACAATACTGAGATTATGAGATAAAATAACAACCTTAAAAAGTATAAGCACACCATTAATGAGCAACTTTTTTTATTCCTCAAGATCCTCCTAATTAAGTAGATCAAAGTGAATTATGTCATCATGATGCTTCAAGATAGCAATCACAACTCATTTAATGCAATTGTAGACCATTCCAATAGATACTCCTACCAAATCTGCCAAGTCTTCCATTATTGCAGTATTGCCATAGTGCCTAATGCCATTGAGGAAAATTGCAAGCTGAATTGAGACAGGGAGTTGTGGGTTATTAAATTGATTATAAAATATTTAGTGTCCCTCAAGTAGTGTTGCCGCAGCTCCGGCTTATTGCTGGTTTTAGCCACGGCTAGAGCCGTGAATAGCCGAGCTGAGGACATAGCTCTAGCTTACATACTTTACGGCCCGGCCTGGTTCATGTAGCCGCAGTTAAGGCTTAAGCTCAGCTCAAACTGGATTAAAATAATTATATATATAGATTAAAGTAAAAATACATTAGAATTTAGAATATTCTAGAAGTCTAGACTCTAAGAGACCAGAGATGTGAGGAAACAAAGCTTGCACACTAAAACAGGAAGCTGTAGAGCTTGTAACATTCGAGTGATCACAACATACATACATCTAAACTCACAACATATCTACAACAGATCTGACCTCAATGGGCCCCCAAGATAATGTGAGTGTTCGCGCTGATTTTCAATCAAATGCTAACTCAATGTTAGTGCTATGGCAGTGCTCATCGCGCGCGAAAACTGAGGGAGCAGGAGAGGGCTGATAATGCTTTGCGCGCATCCAAACAGATGGAAGCGGAGAGAAGGAGAGCTGCAGAGAGGCCGCCGAGATTGAGGCCGAGATGGCAGTGTTGGATCCTGAGGATGTTTTGTCGTGACTTGCAAGTAGTGGGAGAAGGCGTTGTGACAGAGGCACATGAAGGGCGTATGCGCCAAGCTCGGATGCCTCGTGCGTGAAGCGCATTTCGCTGGAGATCATTGTCTTTGAGAGTTCCATTGGTAGTGAGGAGGGGAGGGGGAAGAAGAAGGGGTCTAGACGTGTAGGAAAGGACCTTGCTATAGATTTGTTTGATGTATCAGTAGTATCCGCCGGAAGAGTTTTTGAGAAAGATGAATTACCTGTTCACAAAACTATTATTGCCCATCATATTGTAATGCTCATCGACAAAACCAACACCAGCACCTTGAAAACTCATTAGAATAGAGATAAACTAACATATAAAACTAGTCACTCCATGCGGTGTCTTAAAGTAGCGCGAATACGTTGAAGAATTGATGACCTTTGGGAGGGAGACTCCCCTAATGTGGTCCAGCACCTTTCCAGATGACATTTTCAATAATGCAGCTAAGAGTGACGCCGATATCTGCGCCTTAGGCAAATTGATAGTATACGGGATGATGTTATTGGAAGTTGGAGTGACACCCGACACTACCTGCATCTCAGGTTGCATACGAGTTTGCTGATGAGGTTGGAAGGGAGCAATTGGCAAACATAGCAAATCAGCCAACTAACCTTTTGGAATGAAATAGCCCTCAAAGATGTTGTCACTTGATGTTGCATGAGGAATACCTGTCGGAATAATGTTGAGAACGACATAGTTGACACATTAAGTCTCTCACCAGGTGGTGCAATGATATGCCAATGAATGGCTTCCCGAAAAACAGCCTCCATGTACTTTAGAGATGGTCGCTTGGGCATTTTTCCGCCAACCCGGGAATGGACAAACTATAACATGATGAGCTCAAACCCTTACTAAATATCAGTGTGCTCACTGATAATACACTCTGTGATGTTCTAGCTGAGCATCAGGAATATTGTAGCATTCCAAATCATCCCTGCCTCCAAAAGCCAAGTCGAGCTGAATGAACTCAAGTGGCTCGTCTTCAAATTGCTGCATCTCATGGTCACATAGTCCAATATTAGGGATAATGACACCTTGTACGAGAGAGGCAATGGTATCACGCGAAGAGAAAAGTGACTTATAGTAACCCGACTGAATTGCGGTGGATATGAAACACAAAGATTGAGAGATAAGCTAGGAGGCCAATGCTAATGAGGTCGTTAGAGAACAAAACAAAACAAACTTGGAAGCGTACAGAGTCATCTGTGACACCAGGGAGCTTGTTCGACCTGATGAGCTCCCATACACTCTGCACAAATCCCTCGACAGCAGGCGAGCGTGATAGTTGGTCTGGGAAAAGCTTGATGAAAATCTGTTACGTGTGTTAGCTGTGATCGCCCATTCTGACTGTTACAAACCTTGCCAATCTCAAAAATCTTGGTCTTCAATTGAGCAGGCAGCGATGGCTGTGTTTCATCGAGCTAAATGACAGGTCAGTAGCTGGCAGTGCAGGGCATAGACATAACTTACATTGACTCGAAGCTCTGCAGGGTCCCATAGCATAAAACACTGAAAGAGTCCAGTTTGTGGAGCAAAAAAGGTGTTGTGACTCGTGAGCATCTTCGATGCCTGGAGGTGAATGTTGGCATGTAAAGTCATAGAATATATCGACGAGAATGATCTGGGCCTGCGAAATGATAGTAATATTAGCTTAGTATACAAGACCGAGTGTAAGTAGAGCACATGGGAGGGCAAGGTGATCCTGTCAGATTTTATATGACAGACAAAAGACAGATCACTTCACTTAGTTGTTGGGATGCAAGACGCAGATGCTTACAGAAAACTCGATATTAGAAACCTAGGGGGAAAATAGTCAACCATTGAAATCGATATAATGAGAGACAAAGTGCGGCAAGTACTAGGTAGTAGTGGTATATGAGATTACGAAAAATGTCAGTGATAGAGAATAGGAACATCGGGAATGTCATCACATTCATCCGCTGCCATGGCTCTGAGAAGAGTGTCGTATTCCCGACTGCTGCCGGTACTGCCAGCAGATGACAAGAGTTCCTCCTGGCGCTTGTTGTCCGACTCCAGTGTACACTGTATTTGAGTGTAGAATTCCATATCCTGCTTGGATGCTGCCCATCCTTTGGTGAAGTTGAGGCGCTCTTTCTTCAGTAAGAATTTCAGCATCTGCAGCACCTCCATCATGGCAGGGCTGAGGCGATTGCGCTTCTTTGTACACATTTCGCTGCTTGACGAGAAAATGTGTTCGTAGGGAACAGTGGAAGCCTGGATGGGTAGATAATCCATCGCAAGGCTGTAGATAGTGGGAAATAGGGACTTCAAGCTCTGGTCGACATACCATAAATAATGAATGGAAGTAGGCGACTCAATAGAAAAAAATCACATTCCAAAATGCGAGCACATCAGTTCCTTGAGGGCTAACATGGGACATGCTGTATGCGTTAAATTCCTCATCAACGGTTTGAACGCTGAGATCGTGACGCGGCAAGTCAATATCAGGAATACCGTAAATTTGCGCGCCTAAGGTTGCAGTGCGTGATTGGTGAGCCGGTGTTTCTACAAGTGGATGTTGAGTAGTATTGGCTCTCTTCTCCTGTAGCTGGAGGACATGTTAGCTTAATGATGCCTTATTTGAGTCAAGGTAGACATACCAGTCGCATGATAGACTCCCTGGCACTACGAGCTCATTCTTCAGCCCAGTGACCATCGATTCGCAACAAACATAACATAGGGTCAACAACTATAAAAAACCGTGAGATCAAATGACCTGTACCAAGACAAAACTTACACATCGTGATTCCATATGTGTTTGTCTCGCTCATCTTGTGGCCATACTTATCTGCCCAGGTTAAGCCTACATCAATCATGGGCGCACATTGCCTCGCGATCCGGGCCACCCCTTCCCACCGCTCTATCAAACTTTCCAAGGCGGAGACTGCTTTACTTAGCATAGGGGTACTTTCACTAGACATTGATTGCTGACAAGCATGGGGCACCTGAGATAAATTAAAATGAATCATGCCCTAATGATGTCAGCACTAACCTCTAAAATCACTTCAAGATCTTGCAATACCATCCATTCCATTGGACTCAACCCATATTCAGTTAAGTTGGGGTGAGTTGCAAGGTAGCAATCGATAGCCTGCACCACTGTCAGTTCACAATGAATGCTATATGAAATGAAGTCTTACTGGGCGAAGCATTCAAAGACGATTGAGCATGACATACGTCGAATCCCATCAAGTAGGCTCATCGCATAAGAGTTTGACGACTGGAAGCTTTCCTCCTAGAAACAGATTTCCTTGATTACCAATAAAGATAGTGTTCCTAAAGGCTTCTCGTCGTTGGCCCGATGCACGGACCACACACACAAGACCTTTGCCCCATTTGACAGGCTAACATGTCAGAGCCTCCGAATATAACCCCTTTTTGACGATGGTACCGCGAGCTAGCCATTCAACGGGCGCCATTGTAAAATCCACGGAATGGTAGGTGCTAATAATGTGCTGAACGCATATATTGATAATATGCGGAAAACACGGTATCCTGCGATTAAGAGGATCAAACTCGATACTGCGTGTCTACAGCAGACAAAAAAGCTCGGCCATGGCAGTCTTATTGTTTGCTGCGTTATCTAGAGTAAAATGACTGACCTAGACCCAAGTCAGAATATGCTACACAGTGCAGTCAATCACTAACTTTGTCTGTCACCTCCACACGGTCCAGGAGCCCCAATATAATTGTGGCGAGTGATGCCCCATCATGAGGACCCCAGAATGTGGGTAAAGCCTATAAGGGCGACTTTGAGAACAAGCTTTGATGCTTGCTGGGCGATCCAGTGAGCCGTTAATGCCAAGAATGGACGAAGATTCTCGTCTGACCAGAGGTCAGATGTAAACAAGATTTTGCCCTCTGCTTTCTGAGAGAATATAAGATAATTTGTAAGATCAAAGAGTCAGACACTTACAGCCATATCTTGCTTTAAAATGTCAAAATATTCGTACCACGTTTCGACTATCAACTCGCGGAGTTTTGTCCGATGGGGGATGTCAGACTCGTGTAGATCCTTTCACAGAAGTTGAAGTAACCGTCGGAACTCAGAACATTCCATTAAATTCACTGCCTAAAGATGCCAATTAATAACAGTATCATAGAGAGCAAATACGTACTCACTTGGTCATCGACCACAATAAATTTGACGAGTTGCTTGTGCATCTCCTCAATGGTAAAATCCGGTATGTCATCTGCAAGTGCTGACCCGCCTAGCCTGGGTCATGAACCAAAGACCCCCCCGCTGGGGGAGGAACCAAATGACTCAAGATACTTATCTGGGTCCTGGTCAAGCTCCTGATGGAGCTGCGTGAGAGTCCATCCCATATCAAGGAGATTCTGGACCTCTTTGGCCCCCACTTTCAGGTTCAATTGCTCCAGTGCCATGATATAGACATGTAAGTGGAATTTGAGCAAATGACTCCAAAGAATGCTTGTACCAGTTGACGAACCATATTCGACGACACCATATGAGGCATCTTCTTTCTGTATGTCCCTGGTGAATAGCATGAAAAACAAACAAACAAAAAATTGTCAGAGATGATACTCACGCACAGGGTTCACAAATGCGCTTCCCTGATGTTGGATCCTTGGTAAAAAAAATGATGTACCTCCGATCCCAGCTGTTTTGTTCAACGCCCCATGGCCAAGGGATCAGATCGGGCTGTATCTGTACCTGTGTGCGTCTGGAATGGGCTGGGGCCTATGTGGGCTGCTTCTACTGGGATTAGTAGGTCGTCCTCATCTTCCTCCCAGATGTCGTCAACAACGTTGAACTCGCTGTTGTCTGCTGCGTGGCTTGGACCAGCCTTGTGAGCTTTGTTGCCTCGAATATTTGTATTGGGCCGTTGAGTTCTCTGAGGATTTCGGAGAGTTGCAATCACTGCAGCAGGGGGAACTACAGTGGCAGGTGGAACTACAGTGGCAGGTGGAACTGCAGCAGCAGGTGGGGGAACTACAATGGTGAGATGGGAAGCCTCAGATGTGCCGACAGGGGGATCTACAGTAGTAGGGTTTCGTGTCTGAATTTTGTTGGGAGGACGTCATCGAGGTGGCATGATCATAACTGTTGGGGATCCAATGAGTGAATGACCGTTCTATATAAACTGATGGCACATACATGTAACTAGGTCGTTGGGTCTCGAAAATTTGAGGGTGCGTCAGCTGCCGCCAATTAGCGAAGGTTAGAGAATGTCACAGAATCAAGGGATTGTCTAACCCCCAAAACGCTGGAGAGTCTCAGTGAAAGTAAGATCTAGAATTCAGGACTTACCTTCATCACCCAATCGCCTGCAATCAATTGAACCCTTGTGCAGTGCCCTGGTCCCTGGACATGCAGCACAACACTATTACTGACCAAATTTACCCTAAGATTGATTGTATGCATTAGCTGCTGAAAACTTTCTAGTAAACGAGGTGTAAGCCCTACCATTCAAGGGTTAGCATCGTGCAATCGTGAGTCAGACACTTAGGTCTGACTGATCCCAGTTCACTATTGGCGATACAAATGACAAACCCATTCTGTAATCGCTGAGCAACTGGATTGAATCCTGATCAAAACACAAAATTTCAATGGCATGTTGGTAGAAGGTCCTTGGATTGTTGATTTGTAGATGAAATCTGTAGGGGACAGTGTTACAGTGGGGGAAACATGATGGCGAACGCAAGGTGGCATACATGTGCATATCGATAAGAAGTTGTCACATTAGTAATATGTCACGTCACTCGTGTAACAATAAATTAAAATGTACACAAACTCTACATAAAACATATTTGCTCGAGCGTTGGGGGAGCAAAAAGAAAGAGAATAGAATGATATAGTACATAACTAAATATTTTTACAATGTGATGTCTTTGAAACAGTTACAGGCACAGGGGAACCATTATGTGGGCATAAACTTGGGGGTTTGACTTAGTGAGTCACAGTGGGAAGAGTGAACACAAACTACTCACACATGACGAGTCAATCTGCAAAGAGGCGTTGTCTTCGATCGACATGAAGGTGCCTCCTTGGCCACCAAGTGACCTTGCAGGGATGGAGGGGGATGTATGATGGTATCATTAGACTGGCTGAAGTCCAGTGAGCATGTGACTGGTGCAGGTAATGTGGCATAAACATCATGGAGCAAAGATTGAAGATAAGTGTAATCAGGATCCTCTGAGAATGCGAGATTGTGGGAGTAAATGAGCATAGTTGTGATCTCGGAAGGAATTCCGAGGCACAAAACTTCAATGGTGGTGTCCACCTTGCATGCCAGTATGGAGGAGCTAGAGAGCTTCTCATGGTCACTAGTCAGCCATGGAAGGGAGCCGCAGATGAAATAAATCAGCATGTATACAAGCAACTCGAGATCATCACAATGACCAGGCACGACTCCCAGGTGGTTGTTGATTGATGCAAACACTGGAGTGCCAGTAAGACGTCAACCTTGACGAAATGGCATATGGGCTTGGGTTGTAGAGCTCCAGTACTCCTTCGCAACACCAAAATCAACAATAAAGATGCTGTTCTTGGAAGCGCCGCGACCGATTAAGACATTTTGAGGCTTGATATCACCATAAACGTAGTTATGTGAGTGGATATGCTCCAGAGATGAGAGCTAGGAAATAAGTTAGCATCGCCAGGACACACCATAAATCAACTTACTAGTTGGTCTCCGATATTCAGGATGGTACAAAGGTTGAATTTTCGATTGCACATGAGGAAAATATCATGCAATGATGGTCCGAGGAGGTCAAGAACCAGTGCATCATATGATATGTCGCTTCTCTACCGAACCAGACAGCGCACGGGATCCCAACTCCACCTTGAAGTTGCTTTAAAGTGTTGTATTTGTATTCTAAGGAAGATGAGTTGTTGATAAGAGGCTCAAGTTTGACGGCAAATTCATCATCGTTAATAATATTCCGTGCATGGTATACAACACCTAGAATGTTTTAAATTCAAGTTCAACATGTACATGTAAATAACATACCATATGAGCCAGATCCTAACATGTCTCCCAGCCTGAATCTGCCATCGACTCTAATTGGGACATTTTTCATTGCACACTAAGATATTCAAAGATTTGTTAGACGGGAAACAACGGAAGAGGGCTGCATGCTGGCATCAAGTTGGTTGGAGCCAGCTTCAGCCAGCTCAAGCCGATGTAGAAACAACAATACTGAGAGGAACAAATGATGCTCCTGACTGTATCTAAAAAATGTTGTAAGGTCACACGTTGTGTTAAGACCATGCACAAAGGGTAGGACTGATTCTGAGGGGCTTGGCTTCAGCTCGTGCGCTGCGCCCCTTACCCAAGTATGTGCCCTTAATTTCAGATTGGTGTCCGAGGAAAGTCCGAAGACGTTCGAAGACATCCGAAGGACATCCGAAGGTGCGGGAAACTTCGGAAGGACTTTCTGGACAGGTACAAGTAACTTCCGGATGAGTGCGGGAAAGTTCCGGAGGAACTTCCGGAAATTACAATGGGGTTTCGTCCTAATACAGATACGTGTAATGGCTACTCAGGACAAGTCCTGAGTAGAAGCAAACAGAGGAAAGGCTGCAAGGACAAAGTCCGAAGCAGAATAGGTCCGGAGGACCACGGGAAAGATCCGGATGAACTTCCGGAAACTACGGAGGATTGGATGAGCGGATGAGCGGAGTATTGGATAAGCAGAGCTCCGGCCTAGGGAGAAACTCCCTAGGCCTGAGATGGATAACAACTAAGTTGGAAGACTAGAACTGATATGAGGACTTAGAGTGAAGACTAGTGTGAGGACTAATATGATATTCAGACTGAGGTACTACAAGACATATACACAAGTTTATATACTAAGAAAAATAACAGAAGGATCAATAAGCAGAGTCCGAGGCTATGTACGAAGCATATGCAAAGGTTGACAAATGCGAGTCGGAAATGAACATAGGTTAACAGATCAGTAAGCATACCGGTAATAGATATAACCGAGGTACCGGTAACAAGGAATACCGGATAGGCTGTGTTAACGTTATATGCACAGGAAATGAATCAAGAAGCTAATCGTATATCGGATAGGAAATGTATCTATATGTCGGATAGGATCGGATCGGATGTGGTCCGGATGAGATGCGTGGATATGCAAGATATAATATTAGGGCAATGGGACAAGGGTGAACGATGCAGGCTAGCTGCGAAGGTAAAGGGATCTGGATGTGGATGTGCGGAGGTGCAGGGATCCAGATGGATAGAGGACTGCAGACATGGATAGGATATCCGAAGGTCCGGATGAGGCGTGGGAATATTATCGGATGTAGGTCCGGAATACGGGATACGACACGTTGCCTAGTCTGTGTTACCTGAGGAGACAAGTGCATTCGACCCTAAAGGGGAAGCGAGTGCAGTGAAGATCTAGAGGTATGCGCTGAAGCGAGGCGCGTGAAGGCGCAGGTGCGCGCAAGGCACGGAACACGCTGTAGGGATTCATTTCTGGTTGGGCTTGTAGAGACTGTTTTTACCTTACCTTATGTTGGCACTTTTGTAGCTTACATAATCAATCAATCTTTTCACCAGTTACCGGTATGAGTCAGAGTCCTCAGTAGTTTCTATGATATTTCCTCTCCTCTGAGCCTTGAGCCTGGTCCAGAAACCCTTTAGGGTCGAATAGCAGCTAGGTTCTGCAAGACCCAACACATTGTTCAGACTCACCATCTGAATTGTTGTACCTTCAACGCGCGTGTATTAGCGCAAAGCACGGGAAAGTGCGTGCGCGTATGCAGAAACAATAGAGAGACTAGACTCAAGTGATGATATAATGCAAGATAGAGATGTGAGAATGCAAGATGTAAAGGAATAGATTTCTACTATATTCTGCTAAGTAGTAAGTGAGTAGTAAGTAGTCAGTTGAAGGAAAAGTTGTTGGAAAGGTAAGTGGTAAAAATGGAAAGTGAGTAGTACTATGTACTGCTGGCGCTTATATAGTGCGCCTAAGCGCTGTAATGTGGAGCCGAAGTGCTACCGAGTAGGTATGTAAAGATATATATGAGTGAGAATCCATGATAAAAATAAAGACAGAACAATATGCAAATGAGAGAAATAGAAATATACGCACTAGAGGGCTTGTGGTACGCACTCAAATAGATCTGTTATGCGGAGCCCTAAGAGGGGCGTCGTCCGCTAACGTTCGTGACGTAACCGGAAGGGTCCGGTGTAGCGACTGAGACTGGCGATGTCGAGTCGGCAGATATCAGAGACGCGCGTGTCACGTGACTTCTAAGACGGATGTCTTCAAAGTCACTGACGTTCTCAAAGTAAGGACAGTCTTGTCCGAACGATGAGTAGTCGATCGAGGTAGACTTAGGCGCGATGAGCACCTAAGAAAAGATACTAGAGACTGAAGCTGAGGGGGCTTCAGAGGGAAGTATGTTCGAGGGAAGATTGAGTAGATTCAAGTTAGGGAATCTAGTACAGAGTGACCGACTACTTATACTAAGTGGAAAGGGTTAAGGGCAAGGCTACCATACTGTAGGTAAGGGCAAAGGGGAAATGGAAAGGGTATAGGTACGCTGGTAGCAGAGCCTGATTAGTGATGTAAGGTCGAATGCGGAATGAGACCGAGAAACGTTGGAACAAACCAACGGTAAATGATACAATGTGCATCATGCACGAGTCAAAGGAAAGATAAGACAAGATAAGGAAAGCCACATTGGTGGCACGAGTCAGAACGAGTCATAGCCCGAAGGCACGTGCGCACGTTGGTGCGATAGGAGGGGGATGAGGGACGGGAACGGTCCCGAGGATCCGGTCAACGGATAGTCGGTAGAGAAGTACGAGCCGGAGGCATACGAGGGCGAGGACGAAGGGGAAAAATGATAGGGGGGCCATGTAGCCGATGTTACTTGTAACATTACCCCCGTTTCAAGGTAGAGTTCCACGAACTCTTTAATCGTCGTCCAGAGGAACGTAGTCGTCCTGGTTGTTATACCATGCGGGGTCGAAGTCGAGGTCTTCGAGCCAGGAGGCGGCTTCGATTGCATTCTCTTCGCGTTCTTGCTCAAGGCGAGCAGCGTCCTGGTCATACGCAGCTTCGAGCTGCTGCATGTCCTTGTAGAACTGGTCGGAAGAGGTTCCACGGCGAAGGATCTTCCTGCCGTCGAGTCGAGGGCAGAAAGGAGTGAGATGTTTTGGGGCAAATTGCCCACAAATGCGGCAGAAGTATTGTGCGCAGTGTTTCTGTTTGTGTCCATAGACACGGCACTGGCGGCAGACAACGTTGCTGCGGTAGACCTGGGTGGTCTCGGTGGCATCACGACGCGCGTCGTTGATGGCGTCTTCCTGGGCTTCCTCGCGAGGATAGTGCCTAGTGAAGTTCTGGGTGCGCGGGCGATGCGCATGGGAGAGGGGTAGTCCTAGGGACAAGATGGATCGTGCACGAGCACGGTGATTTCGGCGTTGCGGAGTGGGAAGGGGTTCTGGAGAACCAATAGAGAGGTGTGGGACCGTCTCGGTGGGTACCCAATCGTCGGGGTTGAGAACAGGTGGTTCGGGAGGGCATTCATCCAGCTCTGGGATGATGATAGAGATGGTGTCGGCATCGAGGATGGGGGTAGAGCTCGCGTTCGTATTCGTTATAGAGACGGTCGATCTCGGGGTTGGTCAACTGGGTGACGTTGGGGATCTGCTCTGGTGATTCAGAGCGGGGTAGTTGGGGAAGGAAGGGGGTCGGAGCTCTGTCATAGACAGCACGCTCGACGACTGCAAGCGGGTCAGGAGGGGGATTAAATGCCCGCTCCTCCTCGACGGCCATGACGGCGGCATGGAAGTTCCTAAGTTCAAACAGATTTAGCAAGGCTCGTTTGATCTTGCCTTGGTTGTATCTGGTCGAGACGGTGGATAGGGAAGTCTCCCTAGCCAGGTCAATCCTGGCGATATCGCCGGTGAGGGCATCGGTGGCCCTAAAGGCCTGGACGAGGTTCGTGGTTATGTCGTCGTTGGTGCGGTTGAGATAGTTGTCGAGTCGGATTGCATACTGGGGATCGCAGATGACTGCTTCCCAGTAGGCCCGTTGCCTGTCTTGGACAACTGAGCGAAGGGATGGTCGTCGGAAGACGGTGTAGGAGGGCCTATCATGGCCATGCGTTGGCTGGCTCGTCGGGTCGGGGTTGGAGGCAGACGCATGAGAGGTAGCGGATCGGTGCGAGGAAACAGACGACGCTGAGACCGACATAGTGAAGCGTCTTTCCTTGGGTAGTGGCGTAGGTGGGGTATTGGGTAGTGGGTCTCTGTTTGTCAATGGGTTTGGGTTTCGTGGGGCGGTGGCGATTGCAGATTCATTGGCGATGGAAGGTTTTGGTATCGGTGTGGATGGGTTCGCTGGTGGGGTCAGCCCTAGTGTAGTGAGGGCGGTAGGAGAAGTTGCGGTGGCGGTTGTTGATCAACATGAGATGGCGATTGAAGCGATCTTGAGTCGCTTCTTATACGCCTTCAGGAGCTCCGCTGCGGACTTCAATTCTGTTTCGGGGAGCCACGTTCGTTCGGAGGCAGGATAGCCAACCCAAGACACGAGGTACCGGCGACGCGATCCGGTACCCTTGTGTTGGAGGATAGCTTCCACTTCGTAGTGTTCCTCTCCATCGATAAGATCAGGAGGAGGTTCGGTGAAATTCGGTCCATGCACGTCTGTCTCCTGATAGGAGGAAAGTTCCGAGGCATGGAACGTGGGGTGGATACGCCAGCTGGCAGGCAGCTTTAGCTGGAACGTGATGGGGGAGAGGACCTTCTGGATTGGGAAGGGTCCATATCGTTTTGGGGCGAGTTTCCTAGAAGGGAATCCGGTGATTAGGTTCGTGGCGGATAGCCATACCTTATCACCAACGTTCCATGGCTTGTAACGCTGGCCATAGGAACGATCAGCCATGCGTTGCTGCGCGAGGCTGTGGCATGCAAGGGCTTCTTCGCGGATCTTGGCGAGTGACTTGACTCAGTCTTCAGCGGTTGGTAGGGTAGAGTCGGGGAAGAGATGGGGGATGCCTCGTGGTTCATAGCCCATCATGAGATAGAAGGGGGAGGCATTTCTGGCGGAGT